TTTTGACTCGGAGTTTTGCTCTTGTTACCCAGGCTGGAGCGCAATGGCACGATCTCAGCTCACCGCAACCCTCCACCTCCTGGGTTCAGATAATTCTCCTGCCTCAGCCTCCTGAGTAGCTGGGATTACAGGCACGTGCCACCATGCCCAGCTAATTTTTTGTATTTTTTTAGAGATGGGGTTTCACCATGTTGACCAAGATGGTCTCGATCTCTTGACCTCATGATCCACCCGCCTCGGCCTCCCAAAGTGGTGGGATTATAGGCGTGAGCCACCGTGACGGGCCCCAGAGTAAATTTCTAAAGATGCTAATTATGACTTTTCAAATGTTTGGCAAAAATATTTTAAAAACTTGATTTTCATGTTTATAGGGATGACTTCTTTATTGGGTTATGTATAGTTATATCACTTAAAAATCATTCCAACTGGTTACAAATGAAATATTGACTAAATAACATGCTGTCTTTTTTAAAATTTAAAAACTGAAACTTTCTAAGCAAAATCAGTATATTTACTGCATAATACATGTCATATCAAGAAAGGAGACAGAGTAGAGGTGGAATTTTGCCCATTTCATTTATGAAATTCAAAACTTTTTCTACTTCTAAAACAATTTTTAGGTTTTATAAATAAATAGTTCTGCCCTATTCTATTAAATAAATGTGTTTACTTTATATTTCTAAATTTGCCAAAATGCATTTCAAAATTAGACTACATTAGACCACTGAGAATGGACTTCTGAAAGGTGATGGCTTGAGTTTTGAAAATCAGGAGCTAACTGAAATCTGATCAAATGTGAGTCAATCAGCTTTGATGAGTGGAGAGGAGAGATTCGAAAAATGGTAACAAACATGGCAAGCTAAACATATTTATTTGGCAGGGGCTTTGAAAGAGGGAGCATTTCTCATAAGAGGCTCTAAGCCTGGCTTCATGATAAAATATAAGATGAAGATAAAAAAACTCACAAGTGGTATCTTTGGATGACTAGATTATGGTTTTGTTTATATTCTCCCTATATTCATGATCCAAATATGCATGATGACATTATATAAATAATTATAAAAAGTATTATATTTAGGCTGGGCATGGTGTCTCACGCTTGTAATCCCAAGACTTTTGGAGGCCGAGGTAGGAGGATCGGGAGGTCAAGATATCGAGACCATCCTGGCCAACATGGTGAAACCCTGTCTCTAGTAAAGATACAAAAGTTAGCTGGATGTGCTGGCGTGCTGAGATCATACCACTGCACTCCAGCCTGGTGACAGCAAGATTCTATCTCAAAAAAAAAGAAGTATTGCTGAGATCATACCACTACACTCCAGCCTGGTGACAGCAAGATTCTATCTCAAAAAAAAAGAAGTATTACATTTAAAAATGTTCTTTATAGAAACATAAAATATGAAAGTATTAAAGAAACTCCACAGACTCAAAAATGTTGTTATATATTGGTTTAAACTACAATTCTGAAATAATTTAATAATTAATTAGTAAATGAAGTAATTAAATGATTATGTTATGAAACATCTACTATATTAGGCACTATGCTAGAAACTTAGCTCCAGGGAGATTAAGACAAAATCACTGTTGTGAAAGGGCACAGGTTGGCATAGAAATGACAATGCATAATTTATTTAGTAATTTCATAATTATTATACATTTATTATTAATAATAAATTCATGATAAGGCATTAGTTTAATAGAATATTTGAAAAGAAGATAAAACAGTGCTGGTTTAAATATAAACATACATTAATGGTCTAATGTAGTCTAATTTTGGAATGCTGTATTTTGGAAACATATATTCATTGTTGAATCAAGTAAGTAAGGTAATTTGGATCATGATATTTGTAAAATGGTGTAATTACTGTCAGTGTTTCTCTATGCCTATGTTGTCAAAACTCAGATGTGTGAGAATCACTTGGGAAACTGTCAAAACAGTAATTCCTGTTTCTGGTGATTCAGGTGGTGACAGTGAATGGTTGGGGGTGGGAAGAGCAGCCAACTTTCAGCATTTTTAACTCTTTCCCTAAGTGATGTTGATGCAAGTAAGGGGTCTATGTTTCCCTAAACACTAACATATACAAGGTTAAAAAAAAAGTTTACAGAATTTGAGTTAGAAACTTTCCTTGCTATGTTCCTTTGGAAGCAATGTAATACTTTCCACATAACTAGTTACTTGCCTTTGGACAATTAGTTAAGGACAGTGAGTCAGGGACAGTTTTGAGCTGGATTTCTAACGCTATCATAGTTAATTAATCAATCAAAATAATTAATAATTTAAAATCTACTATGTCACAGACTATACCAGAAACTGAGTTCCAGGATGATTAAGACAAAATGATTGTCTGGAGAAAAGGGCACACACACTCACAAAGCAATAACAATGCCAAATACCTCATATAGTTTTTAAGAATTTATAAAGTCGTTTCATGTTTCAGGTATGGACAAGAAGGGAGTGTGTTTCCGCTTTAAAGAAAATGTGTTCCCCCAATGTAATTTACATGTCTGGGTAAGTCTGTTAAACTGGGTGGGTAGGCCTGCCAAGAGTCTCCTTTAAGAAAATCCATATCAAGCATAGAAACACAGGCACAATAAAGCCTTCAGTCTGTTTGTATTGTGGAGGTTTGCAGTAACACAAATCTGGGCACACTTAGATATATTTCCTGAGCTAGGCCCCAGTGTGCACTCGTGTCTGAGTTATTTGAAGGGGTCATGAAAGAAAACCAGAAAGGATTATTTTGCTAACAACAAATGTGATCCCAAGAACCATAAGATTTATCTTGGTTATACTCACCGAGATAAATATAACTCTCAAGTTATAAAGACATTCTCCACAATTCTATAGAGGTCAAAGGGGGGATGTGGCTCACCAGGGACTCCAGATAAATCAGTGGGGTTTTGTTACCTTGAAGACCCTAGCACCTCATCAACAAGAACAGAAACAGGATCCAGCAGAAGGGAAAGTGTGGCTAACTAAGAAGACAGTAATCAGGGGAGCAGGAGGATTGCAAATAACAAGAGTGACTTGGGGAATCCCACATATTTTCACTGTCTGGACTTGTAAGCACGAGTGATAATTCCTCCAGTCCTCCCTAAGTACCTGGTGGGGGTCCTGGTCATATTAAATGTTGGGGAGTTGGGGACAGAAGCCAGCCCAACACAGTTCCACATTTCATCAGTTCCCCTCAGCAGCCCTGTAAGACAAGCGTTGTTCCCCACTTCACAAAGCAAGAAACAGGCTCTTTAAAGGAATGTATCTGTAATAAAGGGAAGGTTTATTATTCCAGTTAAGACTGGAGGATAATTAAAGTTTATTATTCAGATTTGTTGAGGCAGTATTGTTATGTATCTGGACTACATTCATAATCCATTCATAATCTCATTTAAAAATGATTTTCATTGCTTCTCAAACTCCAGGTAATAAAAGAAAAAAACGGTCACATCTTTTTTTTTTTTTGAGACAAAGTCTTGCTCTGTCGCCCAGGCTGGGGTGCAGTGGCACAGTCTCAGCTCCGGCTCACTGCAACCTCCACCTCCTGAGTTCAAGCATTTCTCCTGCCTCAGACTCTGAAGTAGCTGCGACTAAAAGTGTGTGCCACCAGGCCCAACTAATTTTTTGTATTTTTTTTTTTTAGTAGACATGGGGTTTCACTGTGTTAACCAGGATTGTCTTGATCTGCTGACCCAGTGATCCGCCCGCCTTGACCTCCCAAATTGCTGGGATTACAGTTACCATAGAGAAATGTGCCCCAATTAACACTCTGGTGTATTTAATCTCAGATTTTTTTTTTTAGTTCATCTGTTACATACAAGGATACATTTTTAATGAGACAATACTAAATGTATAGATTGCTTTTTAAATTGCTTTATTAACTTTAAATTTTTCCATGCACATGGGTGAAACTTTACTGCTGACAGAAACTTAGACTGAGTGCAAAGGCAATCTCCAATTAGAAACTGGCAACACAAGACCCACTTGACACATGGAAATAACATAGGGTTCACAGCAAACGGATCAGTAAAGGCATATTAGGAAAATGCAAGGAAAAGGAAAACAGCGAGAATCACAGTATTAATCTCATGATAAATGGCAGGAATCAAGGCATAAGGCAAAATTCATCATGATGGTCATGGTGATTAGAGAGCTCCCCCATAAGGATACGCAGACAATTCCTCAGCTGCAGCTCCCTAAGTTTTCTCCTGATTTCTCTCATCTCCTCCATGAATATTTCCATATCATCTCCATCTCCACCCATCCCATCATTGACCTGCCTATTGGGTATGGCCCATCGAAAATTAGGGGCAAGTCGGCGAGCCTGTGCCCGTCGATTTCCTGCAGGCTGGTGGCCTTCACCTCCTCCCAAAGGGCGGTCTTCCTCTCCATTCTGCATGGGCTGCTCCATCTCTTCGTTTTCCTGGTGAATATTTGCCATGATGAGATTTTTTTTTTCTGGTTGTTTTTCTTTGAACACAAGTAAGACAAAGGCAAGGAGAGAGACTGAATGCTTGGTGCACTGACCAGCAGGATTCAGAGCCCTGATATCAAAGGATTTAATTTCATTTTCTCCCACCTTAGAAGTTCCGTGCGTCCTCTAGGGGGCCTCCAATTAGAGCCCCTCCCTCCAGCTTTCTCCCCTTACCTCCCTTCCCCCAAACCCACCATTTTTCCTTTCCCAAGATTCTTTCTCAGAGCTTCGCAGGCAGCAAAATGGAGGACGGGTGTAAGAGTGGGGGATGGGGTGGAGAGGGTTGGGGTCTCAGACTAGGCTTTCCTCACGTTCGGATCCCCGCACCACCACCGTCCCTCGCACCGACCTGGGCCTATCCTTGCGGTCTCCTCCTCCTCCGGATTCTCGCCTCTAGGTGCGCCGCCCGGACACTTAGCCTCGCAGACCTGCAGATGGGCAGGGGTTGGGGGAGTGGGGGCTCCTGCAGCGGAACGCTAGCGAGGATCATCCACCACCCAGCTCCTTCCCGCCCCCCGGGCCCAGGCTCTCCTCGCTGCCAGCGCCCCCCGTCTCGCACTCCTCGCCCCCACCCTCAGCCGCCCCCCCGCCGCGGTGTTCAATGTTTTCCTGCAGGGACTCGGGGGTGGTTTTCCATCGCTCTTGGTTGCTCTGCTGCCCCTGGCACCCAGGCCGCCCCTGCTTGTCCACCCCAGGGGGCCTCTATGTTCCCAAGAATGTTGGGGTGTGGAGAAAACTGGCGGGGACCCTCTGCGCTGTTCTGCGCCCGTCGCTGGGGTCCGTGAGCCGCTGCCGGCCAGGCCAGGGCGCACGGGCCCCGGGGATCTTACCTGCTCCGCTTTTCCCCGGGCCGGATGCCAGCCCGCCGAGCGCAGGGCAGCGGGGAGCTGGTAGCCAGACGCGAGTGACTACTGCACCGAAGGCTGCGTAGCTTTGCAGCTCCCGGTCACGTGAGGGCCGCGCGTCACCGCTGAGCTCGCCCCTCAACTTGGGCGGCCAGTGCAGCAGGATCTCCCCCCTTACCCCCACCCCCACCGCCACATGCACGCGCAAAAAGCAGCCTCCCTGCTCCCGTCTGTGTGAGGTGCCCCAGAGCGCACGGCCCTGTCACTCTTCTCGGTCCTCTCCAATCTGAGGGCCCACAAGTGGCATCACTGCTCTGCGGTTGGAGTTTGCTCTCCTCTCGTTACCAGTGAGGGTCTGCATTATCCTCCACCACCGCCTCCTCTCACTCCAGGCCTTGGCTTTGGCTTTTTCTGCTTTCTCTTCTCTTCTACTTGGCAATATGCTTTGCGCTGCATTCCCACCCCTACCCCTTGCATGTGCAGTCACCAATGCCCATGTAGCCCCTGAAATCCTACCCTTCTAGAAAATTTAGAGTGAGGGCTAAGGTGGGGAGGCAGGAGGGCACTTGTCAGAAAGAGGGGCAAGGAAGTGGAGTGGACTGTGCCTATTTCTTTATATTTCCTTTTCTTTAAAAATCTGCATGCTTCAGAAAATTATAAATTCTAACTTTTCAATTTTGAAAGAAATGCTGGCTGGTCGCCATGGCGCACCTGCAATCCCAGCACTTTGGGAAGCCGAGGCAGGCGGATCAGTTGAGGCCAGGAGTTCGAGACCAGCCTGGCCAACATGGTGAGACCCCCGTCTCTACTAAAAATACAAAAATTAGCCGGGTGTGGTGGCGCGCGCCTGTAATCCCAGCTGCTCAGGAGGCTGAGGCAGGAGAATCACTTGAACCCTGGAGGCAGAGGTTGCAGTGAGCTGGGATTGCACCACTGCACTCCAGCTTGGGTGACAGAGTGAGACCCTGTAAAAAAAAAGAAAAGAAAAAAAAGGAAATGCTTTATCCTACAGAATGAAATCTTTCACTGTTTATGTTGACCTGTACCACACAAAATATTTTCTCTGAGCTCCACACACATCAAACCATTACTTTTGATACATACTAGCTCATTTAAAATTTTATCTTCATAAAAAGTAGGCACTCTTTCTGAACACAGTTGGTGTTTTCAAAATGATCTGTAAAGTAAATTTTCAGGGAGATGTCCAGTCCTCAGATCTTCACCATTTTATGTAACTTTGATGTTTTTGATACCACAGTCATCAGAGAAAGGGAGTCTTTTATTCCCTGGTTTCCTTTCTAAACCTTTCAAACTATCCCTACAAAAATCTCCTTAGAATGAAATCAGAAGTTAAGTACATATTATTCAGAAATTAGTTTCAAAGCCATCTACCCTTTTCTGCAAATGTTTCAAGATATATTAGAAATAAGCAGGGACTGTGTGAAACAACTTGACAAGTTGAGACTGAACCTCATCCTGAGTGCAAATGTTCCTTTCTTTAACTTGAAATCATTTTAAAAAAATATCACGGCTAGAAAATGAGATGTCTTTAGGAAAGTGGCATTGTTATAAAAGCTATTTGGTATCTGTTGTTTATAATAAGGAACCAAAAGCATTAAATGCAGCACTGAGACAAGAAAGGTCAGACAAAGGCTTACTATCTCTGGTTTCGGCCCCAAACTCCTATGTAATTTCCTACCCTGCTAAACCAGATGACACAGTGAATAAAGGAAGAGTATATGCCCAGTGCATAGGTAGTTTGAGGTTTCGGAGATCTATGTTCCATATAAAATTACATACATATTATTCGAGAGGTATATAGATATATATATGGGTTCTGTCTCACAGTTAAAAACTTTTTATACAGATTGCTATATTAATGATACCAGCTGGAACGATGCAGTTTTAAAGCATGAACTATAGTATCAGACAAGTCTGGCTTCAAATTCAGTCAGCTGTTTACTTGATGTGCGACTTTGGATCAATTACTTATCAAGGTCTATGTGCTTCCTCTGTGAAACAAGGATTGTTAGAATTATACATAACAAGAATTTACTACATACCTAGTAAATCATCAATTTTTGTTGACATTATTTTTATTGTTATTAGGTTGTTTCTAACATGATTTGAAGAGTAGCAGAGTATGATTCTTTCCTTAGCTAGACTCACTTGTTCTTAAAATCCATGAGGGCCCAAAACATGCTTGCTGTGTTCTATTTGGCATACTCAGTGGCTAATACTGTTCCTTGCACCAAGTAGGTGATCACTGAATGTTTGTTGAATTAATGTATCTAGTACTAAGGTGAGTTGATTGTTTTTCATTCTGGGGACTGTATTTAGAGCAATACAGAAAAAGTTTTATGAAAATTAGGAATTACCTAGGAAAAATCTCCTGAAAGTTGAAAAGCCACTGTGATATGACTATTGGATATGAAATTTAGCAAGTGGATTTTTATTTCTTTTGGTGGCTAAATGCTTTGCTGTTTTCCTTTTGACCCATCTTGGATAAATCTTTTGTTCGAAACCACCAAATTTCCTTGGATGAAACAGACATTTGTTTGTAACATCCAGATTGGATACTATCCTATATAGGAGATTGGTTGTAATAAAGTAATGTTTTAAAGATAGGTGAAAATTGTCCTAGAAGTGCTGTTATTTTTACTAAAATGTTGTGAGTGGGAGTTGATTGAGATGTTTCCTTGACTTTGGGGTTTTCTTCGGAGTTGGAGATAGATAGCACACTGTTGAGAATAAAACACCAATTTTTTGAAGGCCAAGTTAGCAGGACACTAGATTCTGTGTTTGAAATTCATTTTTTTTTCAAAGGACAGAGAGAAGGTGAACTGATTAGATGGTTCTTATCCGTACACACATTCCACACATGTTTCAAGCCCAGGAGCCTTAATTCTAATCTGTCCTGGGGGAACCAGGAGGACTCAGAATGAAAAGTGAGATTGGCATTTGAAAATGAATAGAACCAAATCTTTAGTCTGGCTGAAACTATTTTAATAAGCAATAGTGACTGAAAAGTCGGAGAACAGGAGAGAAATGTAGTTAAAGAAGCCCATTACCCTGTGTGAGGTGGGGGAGAGGGGTGATAGAAATAACACTGTTGTTATAGCTATTGGGAAAATAAAACTGTTTCATGATTTTACCTCAACTAGTGAAGATCCCTCTATTGTATTAGTTCCCCATCAGAGGAAGCTCGTTTTTGCTGAAATCTTTATGTGTATTGCCATGACATTGCTCACATGTACTTAGCTGAAATTCACCTGGTTGGACTGTGATTATTGTCCTATTTTCCTCTCATTATCTCTCCTGTGTAAATGCTAGGCTTGGGAGAAGGTAGTCTGAGCCCTAGTGGGCTCTGTGGGTATGGGTATCTCTGTTCCTGCCTAGAATAGGTTCTCTATGTGCCTCCCTGATGCTTTATTGATGCTCTTTTATTGTGATTCTCTCTTTCTCTCTAAATTTAAGCACCTATTACAAACTGAAAGTAGGTATTAAGAATATAGGAAATTATGCCTACTCCAGCTTTCCTCTAAGCCATAACCATTATAACTTTGATGCTAAGATTTCCAAAATGTGGAATGAATCTGACTAAATTTTAAGGGTGTCACTGTAAGAGTTTGGATGATTTGGGAGATGCTATATTTAATACAAGAGATCTAGCCTGAAAAAATAAAAGGGCCATGAGACTAAGATGTCTGAACATGAAAGCAGCAAATATTCAGCACCTCATTATCTACTGGAGAACTGAGGACTATTCTTTTCTTTATTTCATGGGTTGCAGATAATATCTTGACACACCAGAGACCCATGGCCACTCTTTCCTGTTGTTTAGGACTCTGGTGGAAAAGGAGCTCTGCCCTGTACAGTCTCCTAAACAGATGACATTAGCTGGACTATGAATAGGCCAAGAGAAATTCTTTGGCCCTTCTAGCTTCAGGTCGAGGTGAGTACTATTCTTACTTTTCCCTGTGGGGATGAACTTTGAGGAGTAACAAAACTCATGCATAAACGTTCATGAAGTGACTTTATCTTGTCCCACTATTATTACTCCCATGTAAGTTCCATTGCTAATACACACTGCAACAAAGGAAATCTGATTTTTCACCCAAATTTAAAAGACAGAGAAGAAACTGGAGAAACATATTTGTTATGTGCTATGGGTTGAATTGTGTCCCCCCAAAATATGTATTGAAGTCCTAAGCCTTATAAACTCTCTGTGGCCTTGTTTAGAAACAGGGCCTTTGAAAATATATTCAAATTAAAGTGATATCATTAAGCTGAGCCCTAATACAATATGACTTGTGTCCTTATAAGAAGAAGAAACCAATCCAAAGACAGAGGGAGAGATTGTAGTAATGCAGCTTCAAACCAAAAATGCCAAGGACTGACAACTATGACCAAAAGCTAGGAATAGGCAAGAAAAGACTCTACTGAGAGTCTCTGAGGAAGCATGGCTCTGCTGACTCTTTGATTTTGAAATTCTAGCTTCCAGAGCCACTAGAGGACACATTCTTGTTGTTTTAAGCCACCCAGTTTTTGTGATACTTTGTTACAGCCATCCTAGGAAATCAACAATACGTCAAAGAAAAAGAAAGTTAACATCCATTATATTTAAAGATCTCTTACAAATTAATAAGAAAAAATGAGCATACCAATAGGAAAATGTGCAATAGATTTGAGTAAGTAGTTTACAAAAGAAATAAACATGGCCAATAAAAAACATTTATTATTTTAACAAATAATACTTGAGCATTTATCCTGTACAAATTGCTGTTTTAGGCACTAAGGATGCAGCAGGAAACAGCACAGACAAGGGCCCTGTTGTCAAAGACCTTCCACTATATTGGGTAATGTTGGGACTCAGAAACTGATACCCCAAGATACGGTGCTTTGACATGCTGAACTGAAGAGGAAGCCTCAACATCCATCTGACCTTTCCCACGCACTTCCTGTCTCTCAATCCTCTGTCTCTCCCAAAGCACAGGATGAAGTTGTTTTCTGAAGTTCCCTTATTTACCTAAAGTCTAAACTCATTAAAGAAGAAAACAATTACCTCTAGTCCCTGAGCTTTCATTAACTGCACTCATATCTCAGGAAGAAAGACTTAAGTCTGTCAACATGCCTAGACAGACTTTCGTCACAAACCATTGTCTTATTTGTATGCCCAACGGACTATATCCTAGGCCATTGTATGTTCTTCAAGCCCATTGAAGTAGGATAATAAAATAAACTGTGAGGTCAAAAGAATGGATTAGTGGGCTTATAGAATAGTGGATTTTACAGCTGTGTTTTCTATGCCTTTGCCTAATTTTAGATTTATAGGGTAGGGTTTATGATCTCAAATACTAAGCCTTCACAGATTGTGTACTGTGAAAACCAAAACAACCTTAGAAATATTTTAGTACAAGTGTCCTATTATTCAAAGTGAGAAACTGAGACCCAGAAAAATTAAGGGACTTGCCCAGGTCACCAAAGAGGGTAGTAGTAGAACTAGATGTAGAGATAGCTTTGTGAAGTCTACTAACTCCCAGAAAAGAAATCTTTTTCTTTTTCACTTGTCTGTTTTCTTTGTGTCAGTCAGTTTGGGTGGCTATAACAAAATAGCAGCTTAGTGGCTTTAAACAACAAACATTTACTTCTCACAGTTCTGGTGTAAGATCGAGATGCCAATAAATCTGATTTCCGGTAAGGACCCATTTTCTGGTTTGTAGATGGCGATTTTCTCTGTATTATCACATAGTAGAGAGCAGAAAGAGGGGAAGCAAACTCTCTGATGTCTCTTCATATAGGAGTCTTAATCCCATTCATGAGGGCCCCACTCTCATGACCTAATTGCTTTCCACAGACTCCATCTCCAAATACCATCACACTGAGTGTTAAGCTTCAACAAATGAAGTTTTAGGGGGACACAAACTTTCAGTCCATAGAACTTGGCCAATTTTATTTGTTTATTTATTTACTTTCTAGGTTTGCACATATTGTGCATAAATATCTAAGGAAATATTTGAACATTTTATCTATGATTGCCATCTGTCAATCTTAGTCTTCGTCCCTCCTCTTCAATCTTAGAGGAGGGCTTATGACAGTTTCAATCAATAGGGTAGAATAGAATAGAACTGATGCTATGTGAATTCCAAGGCCAAATCATAAAAGACCATACAGAGTCACCCTTATTTACAGGAAACACTTGCTTCTGAAGCCCTGAGATGGCCATGTTGGATATGCTACATGTGGACCCTCTGGTTGACAGATCCAGATAAGCCTGTCCTTTAGTGATCTAAGTCTCAGCTATTCCAGCACCCAAAGTTTTGGCTCTTTTGGTGATGAGTGATAAACACAAATCATAAATCTTCTAATTTATGACTTTCCACAATTTTTAAGTATTCTACAGTAAATTAGGTGGATATGAGAATAAGCAACACATTATTTTAGAATACTACTAAAACTGGTATTTTAGTATTGGTAGTACAGATGATTTTTATTTATCTTTAATTAAAGTGTCAAAGATCAATGTTCATTTATTTTCTTTTTCTCTCTGTCTCACACACACACACCTTTTTTTCCTACCTCTCTTCCTCCTCCCTCACTATACTCCTGCCCCAGCCCCTGAGTTAAAGGCTATATTTCCTGTGATGACTCTCAGAGACCCAGGCAGTAGTAGCATAAACGTATCTTGTGCCACATTTTACACTTAGAAACCTTGCCTGGTGACATGGTACCCCTGCCTTCTCTCAACCCCTTCCATTTGGCTGTTTTCATATTTGAGATTAAAGATGCATTTCTGGTATTGGTCATCATTACTTCTATCTTTTAAATTGTCTCCAAGGAAAAGGTATCCTTTTGGCAAGAAGAAGAAGAAGAAGAAGAAAGCATTAAGTATTTTGAAAATTTGAGTTATAAAATAACACATACAGAATTATCCTAGTTTTCTTATATATACATAGTGATGGAAATAAGATGACATTTACATTAATGCTGACGTATGCAAGGCATTGTTGTATATGTATATTCATTGTTTCATTTATCATTTCAAAGATCCTATGAGGTAGGTGGTAGTAGTGTTCTCTAGTTTACAAATAAAAGAATTGCAGGACAGTGAAGTTAAGGAACAGACAGCAAGTGACAGAGTAAGAATTCAAATTCATATAGTCTAGTTCTTAAATCTATGTTCTTAACCACTACTCAGTTTTATTTGTTAGTAAGTCCCCAGTCTAAATCTCATTCATTCTTTTCTTCATTCAAAATTTCTTATCTGATATTGTTTGAACATTTTTCTGTGCTAGGCACTTCCTGGCCATATACACCTCTCAAATTCAGGTCCATATTTAGGAGTTCTGATTCCCAAGACATAGCTCTTTCCATTTGATAAAAATATAAAAATAAAAATTTAGTTCAATAAATACTTATTGTCTACCATGCACTAGGCAAAGCCCTGGAGACATAAAAGAGAACAAAGCAAATATAGTCTTCATATTCTCATGGGGCTCATGAATTAATGGGAGGAAACCATAAATTTAGTGCTGTAAATCCTGAAAGGGCACTTGGAGCACAGAGGAAGAGGATCTAATACAGTTTCCAGTTAAGTCTTCCAAAAAGAAGTGATGTCTAGGAGATTGATTTCTGGTATGACAACAGGAAGAGCTCTGCAGACCTGCTCTCCAGTGAAACTGGTAAAAAATTATAAAACAAAACAAACAACCATGTAAAGCCTCTGGAAATTGTCCTAAGGATCAGATAAAATGTGGCACAGGATACTGTTAAATCAATGGAGAAATATCTATTGAAGAAAATCTATTAAAAACTTCATAAGAAAGATTAGAGTTTGTGACATTTGAACTTAGATGCCTCCTCCCTTCCTACTTCTAGCTCAGAGAGACATAAACTGCATGCCTAACTTGTGGCCAAGAACACAAGACATCCCCTCCCTCCAGCTCCCAGTCAGGGACTTTCTTCCTAGGAAGTGTAGGATGCCATCCTGCCCCCAGCTACCTGTTGGTGAGGTTAAGTCTTGGATAAGTGCAATCAAGAGGTTGAGACTCCCATCTTCCATCCAGTCCCCACTAATGGAATGGAAGCTATCCCCTGGGTGCGGCACTGCTGAGAATGCTGAGGCCCTAATCATCCTTGCCCTGGCTTGTGAGGAATGGTTTCACAACATGAGAAGTAAGCTGAGAGGGCCTTCAGGCTGTTTTTCTCTCCTCTACCTTAATGTCAGCTCCTAAAGCAGAAGTGTCACTCAGAGAGAAGAATGCTGTTGTTTCCACCCACAGATCCAGAGCTCTGGTTCCAATATTTTTGCCTGAGAAGAGAAGCAAGCCATAAGACATATATCTTGTAATATTTTACCAGCTGAACTTACTTCATTTGCATCAGAGCATGGAGAAGTTCAAGCCACTGTTGCTCCAAATATAGTGGAAGTTGTGGTGAGGGCATTTGGAAAGTAATTCATGGGTTTGGTAAAGTTAGCAGTTAACTATTGTCTGGTTGAATTATTGGAGAGCACCAGAGAGGGAGTTAGCTGGGAGGAGCCCCCTTGGGGTCAGAACAAATATAAAACACTGATGATGGGAACTGTTCTTTCACTAGGACTCAAATTTGATCCAATTAGTCTACAGATCAATTAATGACCAAGAGTTTTGTTGGAAATAATAGACCAGTCAGCTAGCAATTAGAGGAGCCTAACAGCTGACTATAGTCATAGAAAGACACTATGAAAGCTCTATCAAACCATTGTCATCTTAGGGTGTCTGTGGGCATATCAAAAGATGAGCATCCCTGAGGGGCAACATCAGAAAATAATGCTGGAGGAAGAAAAATAAACTTCACTAAAATAAGCCAGCCAATCACTAAACCAACAGGCAAATAATAACAAACTCTGGAAGTGGAGGACACAATAACCAGAGTGGCAACAACATATTATCTAAAATGTTTAATTTCCAACAAAAAATTACAAGACATGCAATAAACAGGAAGGAATGATCCATACCTACACTGGTTGGGGGAAAGCAGGCAACAGAAACTGTGACAGTGGCCAGATGCAGGATATCATAGATGTAGGCTATTCAAAGTACCCATTATACATATATTCCAATAATTAAAGGAAACCATGACTGAATAAGTAAAGGCAAATATGATCCCAATGTTGTATCAAATAGAAATGTCAATAAAGATATATTAATTATTTTTTACAAAAGAACTACATGGAAATTGTGGAGTTTGAAAGTCAACAACCTACATAAAAATTTCACTAGAGGAACTCAAAAGTAGGTTTGAATTTACAGAAAAAAAGAATTCGTGAACTTGAAGATAGATTGAATGTATGCAATTTGAGGGATAGACAGAAAAAAAGATTAAGGAAAATGATGAGTCAGCCTCAGAGAAATGTGGGACACCATGAAGTGCACCAACACATATGTAAAAGGAGCAGCAAAATGAGAGGAGAGAAAGGCAAATAAAAAATGCTTAAATAAATAATGGCCAAAGACTTTCCAAATTTATTGAAAAACTCCAATGCACACATTGAGGAAGATTAAAAAAAACTCCTAACTAGATAAATACAAAGATATTCACAAGTGGATTCGTCATAGTGAAAATGCTGAAAGTCAAAAACAAGGAGAAAATTTTGAAAGCAGCCAGAGGAAAACGAATCTTCATATTTAAGGGAACTTCAATAAGATTAACAGCTGTCTCCTCAGGAAAAAAAAGAAAAAAGAAAAAAGAAAAAAGAAATGGTGAAGGTAAGAAGACTGTGGGACAACACAATCAAAGTGCTCAAAAGAAAGAAAACCATCTCTTACTGACCAGCTGTTACAGGAAATAGAAAAAAAAAGTAAAACAGTCAATCAGGAATTTTATATCAAACAAATCTATCTTTCAAAATTGAAGGTGAAATGTAGACATTCCCAGATAGACATAACCTGAGCAAAATTGTACCTAACTGACCTTCCTTCCAAGAAATACTAAAGTGATATCTTTAGGCTGGAAAAAAAAAAAAAAGACTTCAGATGGTAATTAAAATTATACCAGAAAACAAAAAGCAATAGTGTAGATAA